TGGTTTTACCAATCAACCACTCATAATATCTACATATATCTAATATCTAAAGGGAAACATCTCTTTTGTACTTCACTGTCTTGTTATGCCTCCTGATAAGATTTGCATGGCTTCATTAACTTGAAACTCTGCTTTTGGAGGAGTTTCACTTTTATGCTTTCTTCTTCTGCCCCTCACCCACCACTACCCCTTAGTGCAATCAGGCATTTTTTTATTAAAATACTTTCACCAAACCACAAAGTGTCTCTCTCTCTCCTGTCTTGAAATGAGAGCAATCTGCCTAATTCTTTGCAGGCACCCTACTCATTTGCTTCTTCTAATGATAATAATAATAAAAAAATATTTCTGTTGTTCAGCGGAACAAAATTAGCTAAACCTCCAAGTCCCCAGCAAAAGAGCATGAGCTCTTATTTTACAGAAAATGAGATATTAGTGTTTAGGTCAATTCCTGAAGTCACTTGTCAAAGTAACTTCAAATCTGTAATACCTTATCCAGACAAGGCAAGAATTTGTTACAGAATAAAGCAAAAACCCCAAATTCAGTTTTAAGAACTTAAACAGCTTTGTGGGAAAATGTGATATTTTTTCAGTCTAGGCTCAAAGCAACAGATAATGACCCTCTTCTTAACTGAAGAAATAAGTCCTACATTATTTAGCCTTGAAACTTAAGCTGAAAAGTAATTGTTTAATTAAAACCCAAAGGAATGTGAGAGGATGACTGACTGCATGACTTGGCTCTGATAGTATCACCAACTTACTCTTCAAAGACAGCCTCTATCAGGCCTGGGTTCTCATGACGTAAGGATGCCCAAATGTTTTATTTATAAGGTTATCATGGCTTTCCTTTAACAAGATGTGAAAATGTGCTGTTGCTGGGAGGCGTAAGGCCCATGTAAACTTGGTAGGATTTTGGCAAAATACCAGTGAAAACAATCTCAGTGTATGAATTAACACCAGTGTGTGACATAAATACAGTAACAGGATTTTAAAAGCAAAGGCTCTGAGCTTATCACCCAAGGGGCTACACCAGATGAATTTGAGGAGGAAGGCAGAGGCACAAAAAGGCTGCAGTTCTTTGCCTGTGCAAGAGCCAGTTCTTGGAAAGATGACAGCAGGAGAAATTGCAGAGAAACAGCAGGATGAGAAGTCTGAGGAGAGAGAAAATTTCAAAATGTTCAGCTCAAGACATTGTGGGCATGACTGATACTGATTTGCCTCAGGGACTTTTATAGTAAATACGTGGTAGTAAATACATACCAAGTATCTTAGCATTCTTCAGTGACTATGACCTTCACCCATTCCTCAGCTCATTTATTTGCTAAATCTACCAGCAGTTTCATTTGCTACAGGACACTTTCTGCCCTGAAAAGTAACACTGGCCCAAGAACATCAGCACAAATTACCCTTGTGAAAACGTAGGTTAGAAATACAAACGTTGCTTGCCAAAAGGGAAGAACTTCTCAGCCAGTGTTCAGCTGGGGAAGTTTTGGCCATGTCTGACCAGGATTATATTCATTGCCTGTACCAGTGGGGCTTCACTGCTGTCCCCGAGACAATACTGCACATATTCAGTCTCCATAAGATTCCTCAAACTTCCTGTTCCTCTGCCTTGAGAGGTGTGGACAGTCTGTGTCCAGACACTGAGAGAACAAACCCATTCCAGCAGGCAACCACCAGAATATGTCTTCTCTTGGATTTATGTATCTGAACTGATGAGAGGTTTAAGAAAAAAAACCAAAAGGACTGAGTAAAAACTTAGATTGAGACCTCCCTCCAGAAAAATTAGGAGCAACTACACAGAATTTGTTGCTATAAACCCCCACAGCTCTGCATATTTAAGGTGCTAATAATATTTCAGACAATCCTGCTATATGTTTTTTAAAAGAGAGAAGCTACTCTGAAAAGGGATGTGTGAGCATGTTAATAAAGTGTTAGAAATATTGTCCTGATCCTGCTTACTGTGCTGCTCACATACTGAATTTGGTGGGAGAGGCTGTTATTTCTAGAAAAAAAAAAAAAAGAAGGTAATACTGACAGAGTAATTTCCCTGATTCTGAACATCTCTGACACCAATTAATTTTTTTCTCCAGTTACACAATTTTAGATTCTTGGGTCCATTCCTGTACCATGTCAATCACCTACAACTGCAATTGACTTCAACTTATTCCTTTTAGGCACAGCAAGATCTAAGTGACAATGCAAAGCTGCTGGTTTGAGCTCTTTATGTAACTATTTTAAAAACTTAGAGCAAGGATTTCATAGAACATGCAGCACATTGCTTACCTTTTTTACCTTCTATTCATTTGATCTCTCCTGCCTCATAGTTGTTTTTTCTCTGGAAATCATTAAGGCTTGAGTTCAGCAGGGATACGCATCTATTTTTGCAAAGCTCCCAAGTGAACTCGACACGCTACCTTCCAGAGCATTTATTTTGATCCTGGAAATTGCAGGCCTCCAGTGATCATCAAACCCACTAGTTTACTACCTCATTCTACCTCAGCCTTGAATCGTTAGAAATGCTATAAAACTTACACAAGTTGGAGAACAAACAAGGCAACTGGGAACAAAACAAGCATCTAAAATTACTCCAGTGGTCAGGAAACCATTTTCTTACACTTTATGTAATTATTTTAAAAGCTTAAACATCCTCTCTCTTAGTGTTTCTGCCTGCAGTTTTAAGGGCTTTTACACTTCACATGTTGCTTTCACAGACACGTTAAATTGGCTGACAGTGAACAGCATCACGTACTCTTCAGCTATAGGAGATCATGATGGGCTAAAAAAATGGGGAAGAGATGAACTTTGTGCCTCACTGTGTTCTGGACTGCTATTACTGCCACTAAAAGCAATAACAAAAATGCATCTGAATATTAATTTTTCTGTTATTTTTAAGTCTATGTATTCTGGACAGATTGAATGAAGTTAAAACCTGTTTTTCTTACAGTGAAGAAGAAAATCCAGAGAACATTGCATTCAGTCCTTACATACATTGTTTTTTCCAGATTTCAGCATAGCTGGCCCAGCACCAATACACTTTTCAGAGTTTAATATTGATACTGAAAACCAACATTCCCAAAAATCAAGTAACGGCCATTTTGGTATATTTGTGCACACACCTACACAGAGGCAGCTCAGGTGAACCACCACTGTCTGCACTGTTTTTGGAGGCAACCAACAGCTTGAACAACATTGCCCTGAAATGAAAGCAAACTAAGAGACTTCTTCAGTTTCTATTCTTGTTCTTGAATAGGAAGAGGTAGGGGAGGAGTAAGGAAGAAGTCCCACAGGTCACTAAAGCAGAAGAAAGAGCAGCCTATCCCTGCTGATTCATTTGTGCTGCTCACAGGAGTAAGGATATGCAGGATACAGACCAGGCTTAGAGCAAACAAGATTCAAACCTCACAGAGTAACTAGTCTTCAGCTCCTGACTATTGAACTATTTACATTTCAATACAGGGGATGGGCCACAGTTCAAACCTTTATGAGACCTCCAGGCTGCAGTGCAGCACTGAAGCCCAGAAGTGTCCTGGGACCCCAGGCTTCTCTGACCTGGGAAGATCCCCACCCTGGCAGCCAGAGTAGCAGTCTGCTGTTTCTGTGGCCTTCTCCGCAGAATTTGTGCAATTACAAGACAGAGGATGATTCCCTCCCTTTTAGCCCTCCATCCCTAGATGAAAATGCAGTCTAGGGAGATAGAGGTCAACTCAGGGCCTTTGCTGGGGCCCAAGGCAAGCTTTGGGTGTCATTTCCCAGGGCAACAGCAAGGAAAGTGCTGAACCTAATCAGAGAGCTACTGTAAAGCCCAATTACCACGCAGGTATTATTTATTTATGTACTCGAAACTTACTAATAGCTACATAAAAACAAATCTGCAGAAGGACAGTAGCAGTGTCTGATTCTCCTCTGTGTGTACAACTCGGGTTTTCAGATCACTTTACTATAAAAGTAAACTAACAAAAATAATCCATTCAACCTTTTATAAAAAAGCCACTCAAGGATCAACACCCAACTCTTTTTCTTACTACTCACAGCTTGATTCTCAAGTGCTTTACAGGAGAAAAGATCTACCAAGGACTCGTGTGAGTCACTAGCGATCCTCCACCGCAGTTTCAAGACCACTGACTAATTAAAAGTAAAGCTCATTGCACAATCTTGAATCACAGCAGCAAACAGCAGTATGGTACTGGTATGAAGAGACTGTATCACCAAAGGCAAAAAGGAGCAATTTAACCCCTCAGCTAACAGTACTCGCTCCAGATATTTAGCCAGCTTTATAAACTCACATTTGAAAGCAAATATAAATGTGAATATGCAATGTTTTTCTTCACGAATACTCACCTTGCTTCCTTCAATCTAGTAAATAATTGAGGGGACAAATAAAATGAGTGATTCAAGAGTCAATACAAATGAGATGAACTGTCACCATGGAAACTATTAATATACTTCATAATAAAGGTAGATCCTCTCATTTTCAATTTTGACAGAAGTTATTATTTAAACAAAAAATATTTTAAAATTTCTCCCTAGCATTTCACTAAAAAACTAACAGCAGCTCCAGGCCTGGCCTTTTTCTAAGCAGCAGTGCGTGCATATAGCTTGAAATCTAGCATTCATATCACAAGTACCCTTACAGAACAGCTCTTGGACACTAAACAGAACAGTGTCTAATGGACACAGCTCCCAAGTTTTCTTCTCCTTATTTTCTTTGCCCGGGGCTGCAAACTGGCCTGTATATTGTCACCAGCACCCTGGATGCCACGATTTGGAAGCCCTTACCTTAAGGCTCTTCTGCCACCAGCCTCCATTTCCTCAGTGTATTGGCAAGACCTCAGGAAGAAAATGAGTACGTGGCAATGGGAACAAGGGTGAAATATTTTGAGGTTCTGACAACCACTCCTTCATTCAGTATTCCACTCTCCTTCAGAAAACACCTCAGAACAAATATATGTGTTTTTAAATGAGGCATGTTTTGCTGGGAATAAAAAGCACTAAGAAACAACTCAGATTCATAAATGAAAATGTATTTCACCTTTATACATGCTATACAGGTCATGCAAATACAGAAATCTACAGGTTATACAATGACACCATAATAAAATATAATATGACATTTGTCAAACACAATGTATTACAGCAAAACAAACTGTTTCTGTTTGTTTATTATTTAGGAAATAGATGAAGGACTAATTTGGAAGACACAGTACCATGCTACAGCTTACTGCACAGTCCAAAGAAAATATTTCTTTGAAGAACACTAACATAAATAAAGCTGGGTTGTTGTAGGTATGATTTCTTTATGCATTGCACATAATATCACTGGTTACTTTCCCGTTGCTGACTTTAAAGAACACAAAAACAGTGCTACAACTGAGCTCAGTCTATACTGTGAACTCCCTTACATGTGGAAACAAACCCCAAAACCAAACAAACAAAAACCCCAACAAAACCAAATAAAAAACCCCACCCCCTCAAGTTTTCACTTCTTTTGTGTTAGTGTCCAAAGAGAGTTGTATTTAAAATTCATTCTTATAAGGAACAGAACAAAAAAGTCCTTAAAGCAGCACCTGATCTAGCATAAAGGTTCACCAACAGAAATAAAGTTAACATTGTATGGCACATGATGTCCAGACCTCGTACATCCTGATGTGAACTGTTCCATACAGAATGTTAAGGGCCCCCCAGTTCCCTGCATGTGTCTTGGCCTTTGTGTTTCTGCTGCAACATTCACATATTGTTTTGCTGCTGACTAAATCTCATTTTGTTGAGTCTACAGAATACAAAATACTTCTCTGTGTGATCGAAAGCCTGCTGGTATCAATCAAGTGTCTGCATCTTCAAAAGTGAACATATTATCTCACCCTCCTGACCATCACTTGGATCTACTACAGCTATACTACATACATATTAAGGGATTACACCAGGCGTTCTGCCTACTTTGCTTACAGGTGTTACACAAACATGTTTTCAAACACACAGTTGATAGTTGCTCCCAGACTAATTAATATTAACCAGTAAGTGCCACTAGTGACTAAAAGTGTCAATGTAACCGTAATGGGATAGTTCCCACACTCCACAGTCAATAAGAAGCCTCTTTTGATTCCAGCAGTTGTATGTTTTTCAAGCCTCTTCAGTTATAGTTTTGAATTATACACCTCATAAAAGTTGCCAATAATTCCTTATTAGAGACAAAAAAGATAGGCACAAAACTAAAGTACAGTATATTATTTTGTTTCAATGCACTGTGGGCAAACCCCATCTTTATTTACAAGAAAAAGATGTCTAAATGGGTGTATGATAAAGTTTAGGGAAGAATTATTTCAAAATAAAATGCACAGGTAAAAATCACAGTGAAGTGTTGAGATGAATTTTAAACTAAAAGAAAAAGTAAGTGCTTTATTAGCAGCTAAAGCTCAAATTCTAATGCACACTCCGTCTTCCCTGAAACCATCAAGGCTCTAGATCATTGGTTTTTACCAAAAGCAGCCAGTTACTCAACATATTTATTTCCCTGGGAAGACAACTTATATTCAGCTCTGATTATTTGGAATCCAGTGTTCAAGGACTGCAGAAAGCTTTTTCAAGTGACAAGCACATATTTTACTGCCAGTAGCATCACAGGGATATAAATCCTCCACAAATTGTTACCACTGTCAATCAGAGAGACAAGAACATCAAGTCAGCCACACCAGTTAGATGACCTCAGTTTTGTAATTTAGAATATACTCTTTCAAGAAGACTGACTGTGGCACTGTACTTTAAAACTGTCACTGAAGCCTGCTGTGATTTTTTACTATGCTGGCTTTTTGGGATATGTGATTTCTACACCGTGCTGCAAGTATTTACAGCAGCTGAAAGGAGTAAGCAGCAACAATAACTACCATTTCCTAGACTGACCCCGCTTTTAACTGTTTTCTTCATGCAAACAGGCTCCAAAGATATACAGGAAAGGTACTGTATTAATGAAGAAAAAAACAACCCTCCTCACTATATTCTGAATGCATAAAGGAAATGTTCCCATTTACCAGGTACTTGTGGTTGCTACGATACAGTCAGTTTGCATATGATGCCAATTTGCAAATAGGAAAGATTATGCTGAATTTAAAGATCTAGGAGACCAGCTTTCTTCCTCTCCTCACACTGCTGTGTACAACTGCTGAATGTTTCTGGGAAGCTAGTAAGTAATCACAGCAATTTATCGTATCTAAGATGTTTATCACAATACTGTACCTGTATCTGTTCTGCTGAAAAGCGAGGCTGTCAACAGATAGAATTAAGTGTATTTTCCTGTCCTGGACTGTTAAATCCCTCAATCAAGTTTTTGTTACAGTCATCTAGGCTAATGGTATCACTGGACGTCTTGGAGTAGGTAGCTTGTCCTGTGAAATCCAAGAGGTCTTCAAGAGCCTTGGCATTACTTGTCCCATTTTGGTCCAAAGAAACACCCGGCATAAGTTCATTCATGGGTGAATATTCGGGAATAGAGATAAGTTCTTCTTTTGAAACCGGGCTATACGAAAGATAAACGAAAGGAGGATACAGAATAAGAGGTGGGTAACTTTTCATTAAGTAACAATCAAATTAAACTTCTGACAGTTCAAAAATTTATTTTAAAGGCCAGCTGCAGCAAGACTCTACCTAGAATACATCCTAATCCAAAGAAAAAGACATTGCTCTGTTCAGGATGGAAGGTCATATCTAATCTGTATCCCTTAAGGATTAAGGTTTGTGGTAGTTGTGTGATGTGAGCACTCATCTCCTAAACCCACATTTCTGACCATTTACCAGTCACTCACTGTTTCAATCCCTGCACCATTCCCTTACCTAAATGTTTAGTACACCTTTCAAGTTACTGTCCTGACCCCGCAACATTGCTTAAAGCACTCATATTTCACAACTTAAATAAAAAGTTATTTCTTAAGACCTTCTGATATACTTCAGACACAGAAATCCCATAATTAAATTTAAGAAATGCTGTAACCAGCTGCTTTGCTGAGACTAGTAAGGCTAGTGCATTTTAGTTTGGAGAAGAGAAGGATTTCACAAAGATTTGTAAAACCACAACAGGGTAGGGGACGAGTTGAGGGCAAAACTATCATGGCATGAAATGCTGCAACACAAACCCTAAGGGGTGCCCAATGCCACCAATAAGAAACTGATCAAAGAACATAATTTACAGATCAAAGAACATAATTTACCCAGTGAGACTGCACTGTAGCACCTGTTCCAGGTCAGGTCCTGGACACAAACATTATCAGCAGGTCAAAAAAAAAAAAAAAACTTTGACAAACTCATGGGCAACATGTCAACCAGTGGGTATTTCAAAGGCCAAGGCAGAGCTGCCCCCTCTAATGTCCCTAATGCCACATTTCAGTGTGGGCTTGGATTGCACAAAATGGGCTACATGGACTTCTGGTCTGTCCCAGTAGGGCATTTTCTATGTATTTATGCATATTTACTGGAAATACTGAAACAGTATGAGAGGTTCAGCTGTCTTACTGATTAAGGAGGAACTGTATAAAAATTCTACATTTAAAATTGTCTTAACAGCCTTAAATTAACTTCCTATATATAAAAATATGTAAATAATAAAACTTAAAATTAAAAAATCCTTCTTTTCTGCACATCCTTCTGAAAATCCAAGAGTATTTAAAACCACAAAGTTATTTACTGATTTCCATACACTGCTACTTGTTAAGTACTTAAAATGCTCAATGCATTATTTTCTTTACTCTGTTTGTATAGAGGCAGAGAAGCTCATGCATCAGAGCACACCACAGCAGACCTCTGACTGCCATGCTGGGGGGTAGATGAGAAGAGAAGCCATAAAGTATTAACAAGTGAAACAGAAAATTTTGTGTCTCCTATGAATTCCACAATCCCTCTTGGTAGATACGGTCTGTACCTCACATCCATGGACTGAACCTCATCTGTTGAATCTTCCATGCTGTTTGATTTCCCATCTACAGCTTCCAGCTGAATAAGTCCTGGAACTGACTTCAGTCCATTAGCAACTACATCTTGGGAAGGGGTTACAGAAGAAGCACTTTCTAAGCTTTTACTTTTCAGGCAGCTTGCCAATCCATTGATCTCTATAAAAGAAGGTTAGAAATTATTACAGTAGGAGCTCCTTTAAATAGTTTGAGGTTACTGACTGAGTAGAAAGGAAGACTGACAGTGCAGTAGGACTTAATTCAAATTCATGACTCATCATACTATACTGTCGTCCCTCTTTCCACTCCAAAACTGCTCTTTATGCTGCATCTTTTAAATTTGAGGGAACAGGAAGAGAATATCTTTTATGTCATGTACTAAAAGTCTTAGCCTGGGGAAGTAAACAAAATACAGATAAATGTCAGACATTTATTTATTTAATAATACTTTAAATACATATTTTTTTATAAAGTCAAATTAAATGTAAGATTTAGAGACATACTATAAAAAGCTTGCAGGCTTGGTTGTGTGCAAAAATTTTCTGCCTACAAAATCTGAAGGTAGATTGCAGCAATCAAATTGACACATTAGAACTTTTCATTTACAATAATGCTACCTCTGGTACTAAAATGGAGGAGAAACTTTCTTCTGCTTAAGTGGCAACATTTCTATCATTTGTCACTGATGCAAATGTAGCTGTTCTTTTTGAGATGAAAGCAAAGAATTTATGAAAATACACAATGTTCTGCCTCAGATCACAAAACTCTGAAGAGAACCAATTGTGCAAATAGGTCAGAAAAATACGGCAATTTTTACCTGGCTGGTTGAGAACAAGTGCCTTTGGTTGCTTTTCCACATTCAGAGTTGATGGTATCTCCAGTTTTGGCTCTTCCTTCTGAAATCAAGTAATGACTCAAGTCTATCAGAGGAAGGGCTGTAACCTTCATGGAACTGACTGGACTCGAAATCTGTGAGACTGCCCAGGGCCATAGGGCAGTCAAAGCAAGGCCATCAACAGCAAGACAGGATTTTCTCCCCCGCCACCACCCCTTTAATTAGGCATAGTATATTTTTTAAAAATTCAAAAAGAAAACATTCTCTGAAAGTAACTGAAGAAACAGTTTCCTGAGTAGATTAGAAGTGAAAACCTGACTGTCACTTCTTAGCCGGACACAAGTGCCTTGTTTTCAATTCGACATTCCTGACAGGCTTAACAAGGAGAGCTCAGTAACTAATTCACTGGTTGGTACAAAGCAGGAAAAGACATATCAACAGCAGCAAACATTACAGCTCCAGCATCCAGAAACAGGCTGGAGAGTAAGGGGGGTTAACCTGCAACACTTGCCCAAAGCTGTGTCTCTGCAGCAGTGGCACAGCAATGGCTGTGACAAACCAAGAGTCATTTTCAGTTCAAAATACGACTAAAATTTGGGTGTAGAGTATACCCAAGTAACTTAATAACATGGAACTACTCTAGAATTCAATTTCTACATATGGCAAAAAACCAAACCAAAACAAATCACGCAATCAAATATGGTTTCATACCTTTATTTCTGGTGTTTCACTCTTCCTTGTTCTCTTCATTATTTCATCTATTCTCTACAAATAAAAATAAATTTGAGGATGAGACAGCAGAATATTTAACACAAGAGACAAAGAGAAGAAGAAAAAGACAAAAAGACACTTCTCTTTACTGTCACGGCCTCATCCTTGCCTGTCTTGGAAAATGGGGAACAAATAAAAAAAATAAAGAAAACAAAAGGAAGAAAACAACTTGGAGCTGACTTTCACCTATCAGATCTCACAGAACATGACCTTCTCAGTAGAGGCACTTTAGAAAAGGCATTTTAAATACCAAGGGTTTGCACTTATGAGTTGTGCTCATTTCTGGAACAAGACATTAGTTTAAAGCCAATAGCAATTATTTTAATTTAGTTCTTCTTCCATCTATTTCCAAACACTTCCTTTAAAAACAGTTAGCCTTTTTGGAATAGAAGAGTAAAATGAAGTATCTGAAGTTATTCTTGCTGTAAAGGTGTAAGGCATTATCCTAAAATACTTTTGTTTTCCTTCTTTGTTCATTAAAAAAAGAACCTATTTCAGCTGTAAGACACTTTGGTTTGTATTATAATCTCCAACTGAACCATGCTGCCAGTGCAGCTGTAAACAGTTAAAAATGTATTGGAACAAAATATAAGATGACCCTTTGTAACCAGACAGAGGTTCTGCAGCTGTTCTCCCTTTCCTGCCACAGAGTTGTAGACAAAGCTAATTTATGCAGCTCCAGCCATTTCCCTGTGCATCACTGGCCACAGTCCTGCTGCCTCTGCACAATGTAACCACAGACAAGCCAGGTGGGAGAAAAGTTGTTTGTTAATCACATGAACTTTCTCCATTAATGACACAGAACTACTGTTGAGGAAGTTTTAAACCAAGTCATTCATGTTCCTCAGTAGCCTGTGATGTCCTGGGTTGGGTAGCAACTGACATTTGCCTTGACATGCCATTCCCTGTTTGTCTCAGGCATTTATTTAACTTTTCAGGTAGAGGCTGATTCTTTGTTTGCTCAGTGCCTAGTTGGGAGTCATCTGTCTTAGGCAATTCCACTTTGTTACAAATTTTGATGTCCACGTTCCCCTAACATGTCAGTAGCAAATACTAAGTTTGACATTACTAGTCATCTGCAATCTCTCCAGATTACTGTTAGTAGATACTATTGGGTACTTCCTGGATTATGCATTTAAACAAGAAATGAAATAATTATCTGGAGATGCAAATATCTACCTTCTTCCGTTCCAGTCTTTCTTGCTCAATTTGCTGCATGATTTGTTCCCTTTCAAGACGAAGTTGTTCAGCTGCCTCACGGGCTTTGATTTCTGCTTCTTCCCTCTAATCAAAATGTGTAAAATATGACAAGGCCATTATTTATTTCAGGCAGATTACCAAATACTATGAAGTATTTATTTATATGTATATAAAGTTTCACATTTCTGCTTGAGATGGTACCTGTTTCTCAAGCTTGGCCTGGAGCTCTTTTTCCTGCTTTTCCTTTAGCATTTGTTCTTCCTCAGCTCTTCTCCTGGCTTCCTCTTCTGCCTTTTTTCTGGCTGCTTCTTCTTCACGTTTTCTTTCCTCCTCCTTCTTACGAGCTTCTTCTTCCAGACGAAGCCTTTCTTCTTCTGCCTTTCTCTTCTGTTCCTCTCTTTCAAGCCTGCCAAAAATATAACATTATGTTTAAAAGGCTTCACCTTGCTTAGCATCAAACACACATTTTCATGAAAGATGCCAAGATACAGCAAAGAGGTTGAACACATGCTCAGGATTCAGGCTGCTATCGAACTTTTATGCCAATCTTATTTTCAATGCCTAAAATATTTCACAGAAATTAAAATTTCCATTTAGAGTGCCAATAATAAAATTGTATTTCAAGAACAAAAACATCCCTCTTCCCCTGTACTTGACACCCAGAATGCTGGTATCTATAGGCCAGCAGGTTCTTTTATCCTTTGTTTCAGCTGAAGATGAACAAACTGGATGAGTAGCAGCAGAAATCCACAAAACACAGTGGAACACTAGAAAGAGTGGGTCTAAACTCCACCTGTGTTGTTCCCTGGCCCACTGAGGGACATCATGCTCCTTTGTCACCACAGGCAAGAGCTGCTTTGAAAGTGATCATTCTCATCATTTTATCAGGGATTCACAGCCAAAGTGGCAGGAGCTGGTGATTCCACTCCCACCCACGCCCCTGCCATGTTTTTAATAATTAAAAAACAAAGTTGAATCTAGACATGCAGAGTTAGTGATTTACTATTACGGCTTTGAAGGAAGGGTTTGGCACTTGCAACCAGTGTCCCATGGAGAGAACAACCTAAAAGCTTGCTCAGAGAATAAGCCAGAACCAGAATTTTGCTGCTTAGACAGAGCAACCTTCATTATGCCTACACTCCTAAAGCCCTCAGTGCCTACAGCAGAGCTGGCAGGAAGATGAACTTCAGGTTCATCTGTTGCACAATACCAGCCTTGCCATTTAATGCATATACTACTACTGCAAGACTTCTTCTATGTGATCTACTCATTTAAGGCTGCCTCAAATATTTTTTTTACAATGTAAAATACTTCAGGTATGTCCAGAGTGCAGTGTGCAGTACACTGCAGCGTGGACATACCCGAAGTACTTGGACAAGTAATAGTTTTTTCAAGCTTCTAAAAGAGGCCAAATCATAGTTTTCTAAACTTTGCTGGTCATAAAGACTGCAAAAGACATTAATGAAATATGAGAATGAGATTAAAGAAATTCACAGTTACATGTAAGCTCCCACTTGACTCTAAAACTACCACAGATTCAAGTATTTTCAATGATACGGGTTTAATTATTAGGTAATAACTTTCACAAAGCAATAGACGCACCTTTCCCGTTCTTCTCTTTCCTGCCTCTCCTTTTCTTCTTGTTCTTTCTGCAGGCGGGCCTGTCGTCTTTTTTCAGCTAAAATTTTGGAAGCTTCTTCTGCATCACTTGTTCCTGCTGTGATCTTCCCTAAGAGAAGAGGACCAAGGGTGGAAAGTTTAGCAGGGAACAAAGAGGGTGAGTGCTCAGCAACTTCAAACTCACGCAGAGGCTGAAATGGGCCTGGTTCACACTGGAAGACACCTTTTTAGAGCACCCCTCAGCATCTTCAACAGGCAGAATATGGAATAGGTAAGGGCATCCCTGAATTTCAGCATTTTCACATCCCCGTTAACAAGTGGTTTTGGTACATGAGTGAAAACTATACATTTACAGGTTCCAATATGTATCTTCACACATCCTCATAAGCCTATGACAGAGCAGCTTCATGAAAAGAACAGCTCATCACTGTTTAAAAGTCTCAGGGACCCACGACACCTTGCAATATATTCTTGCAGTAAGACTCACCTTCACTGTTCTCATTCTTCCCAGCAGAAGGCACGTGCTTCTCAGGAGCCACCTGGCCTGCCTCGTCAGGGCGCGCTCCTGGGGACTTCTGATGGCCGGCATTTTCTTTCTCCTTGTCTGCTTTCTTTTTAGGAGTTTCCTGGTTGAGATTAGAAGTGGCACGATGCTTCACAGGAGAAGCTGGATATTGTTTGGTGTTTTTAGGAGACTGTGGGTAAGTCTTTGCAACTGTCCTAATGAGGGAAAACAAAAATCAAAAGAAAGGAGAAGCCATGTGTTACACACCTTGGAATTGAACTCCCGCTTCCCATACATCATTGTTCTCTTGTTTTTCTGGCCACACAGGAGTACCAGCTGTTTTGCACAATACTGGATAGAATCACCTGGATGCAAGCAATCAGAACTTGAAATGCAGGGAACTGGCATGCAAGTGCACATGATCACAGAAAATTCTCATTTAAACAGACCAGTAACACTGTCTGAGGTCTAGGTGAGAGACAGGAAATCAGGGACTACCTAACTGATGATTTTAGTAATGACCATTTCACAACAATTCTGTCAACATTACTGCGTTCTACAGTCCTTCTCAACATTTAAAACAAAGCTATGGTTGCTTTCTGTCTGTAGAAATTATGAGTACAGTGTGCTGCTTTCATCTAAATACCACCTTGCCAAACGTGGTCTTTTTTCAACAGTACTGGATTTTCAAAACCAGCAAGAAATATACTATAAACAAAGGTAAAGCTGAGTACCACAGAAAGAGAAGAACTGACCACACCATTGTACCATCAGCTTTCCTGTTTCAGTTAGTGCTTTAATCAGCACCAGTGGAACAGACTCAAAACTCAGCCCTTGGAATTCACCCAGCTGTACCTATGGAGATGGGGATTCAGCCCACTGACTGTTTGGCTGTTGGACACTTCAGGTGAAGTGATAACCTCGCTTCTGAAGTCAGTTTGGGGAAAGTGGAAGGGCAAAGATATCTGATATTCAGTGAAAATAGGTGCACATAAAGAGAACAGATTACCAGGAAACATAAAACTACCACAAACACCATTCATTATTTATGTAACGCCAGTAACTAGCACTTATAATGTTAAGAGAGGCTGGGCTGTGTGACTAAATACTATGAGAATAAAGAGATTACTATCTTAAAATAATGATTTATGTGAGTCCCATTAGAATAAATAATCCTACATTAAACTGAACATTACACATGTATTTTTAACCTTCTTTATGGAAATGAAATTATGACATAAATGTATTACCCTTTATCACTTTTTTAATCTACACAATATAGCGTTTCATATACTATAACATGTTTTCTGGACTATACACTCACTCTGGCAGACCAAAAGTATGAAAGGCATGGACAATGGCTGAAAATTAATGGACTGGAGTGGCAAGTTTTATGTAGTAATTATAGTATTGTGTGGTCAGAGACTATTATAACAGGAACAGCATTTGCATTACAGAGCAGACAATAAAAATTAGAATTCTTTCAACTCCCCCCCTGAATTTATGAATTCAGTAGAAGAAAGGGTTCTTTTCCACCATATTATGCTGCATTTGTAAGAAGCTGAGACACTGGAATACAGAGAGCTCATTCAGAGCTGCCAGGTTTGTGGAGAGGAAGACACTGCAGAGCATTGCACCATCTGTACTTTCTTACTCCCACAGAAGAGCCATCACAGACTCCAAAAGCCCTCAGGCTGCAGGAACAGTAGCACCCAACCAAATTTGAAGTTCAGCTCAGGTACCCTCTGCCTGCAGGCCCAGGAGCTCCCTGTCAGCTCAGGTCCTTGCCTGAGTTAAGCTGTAGGTAAGCCTGTTCTTCTTGGCTTCCTAACCTGCTGATCCTGACACAATGTCCTGGCTTGTCCTTGGACTTGCCTCAGAGTAAGGCCTTGGTTGGCTATCCCTGGACTCTTGGCTGACCCTGGTCACCATCACCAGACCTACCCTGGGCACTTTTTGTCTGCTATGAGATGGGGTCCTGTGGGTGAGGTCCCTGGTCTTGTCTGCCCTACTGCCACCCACTACTGCTGCTGCATGACAGAAACAGGCTTTGGGAGATGAGAACAGGCAAGTCTGTTTCCAGGTCTTGAAAAAAACAGCAATGGGAGAAGCCAGTGAGATTGGTTGGTGTTAACCAAGTCTGGTTTTAGCATTGTCTTTAGATTCCTTTTTAGGATATATATGGGTTTCCAAGCCCTTCTGAAGGGAAAAGCAGAGAATTTGATGCCCCATCTACATGTGTACATCTCACACGTGCCTCATCATGACAGTCATTTCCAATTGCATCTCACAAAAATAGAACTGGTAAATACAAAGTAAACAACATTTTTTCTTATGTTTTCCTGCAGCACAGAGGATGCTTCTTGCTAATTAGACACTTCTTCAAAGCACAATCCCTTCTTGCTGTCTTTGGTTTGTATTTCCAACTTTACCACATGTTCCTTGCAATGCATTTTATTGAACCTGTTGTGACAGCAGGAGCAAAACAGGCTAATAACTAAGGCTGAGTCATTTTCAGTGTCAGCACAGAAGTAATTGTTCTCTAATAAAGACATGACAATCAAACTAAAGAGGTTGGTAGGAAGGAGTCTAGTCATGAGAGCTACATATCTTGCACTGCATAGGCATTAGAGCAGACTGGCTGTACAACTTACCTGTTGGACTAGAAACATGTTGAATGTACTATTTAAGTAACATATCTTTGAACTTTTAGACCGATAGTAATTTTTTTGTTACAGCTTTTGGGCGGAATAAAAAGTATGGCTTTGCTTCCTTTAAAGCAAACAAAAGCAAGAAGCTTAATAAAAGACCGGTTACTGCAATGCAAGCAGTGAAAAGATGAGAAAGAATTTTTATATAATCTACTGGATGCCAGTAGAAAGTTGTAAATCAACATTGTTTTCTCCCTTGTATTCAAAACATATAGTCAACTTAGCATCTTTAACATTCTTAGACACAAGCAAAATTGTTACTGGAAAAAACACTCCTAAATAGTATTTAAATTATGCTGCTTTACACCAGGAAGGGCCAAACTTGATTGTGAAGACAGAAAAATGGGATTATTAAGATAAAAAAGTATAAAAACTTGTGTAAGAGTCTGCTTAGGTTTAAAGAATGTTTTGGTTTTGACAGGAGAGAAAAGGAAAAGGATATAATGGAATCATGTTAAGAGTGGGATCACAGAATTGTGCCTGATGAGGATCAGAGAATTAAGATAACAAATCTCTAAAATCCAAGAAGTGGCAGCATGTTATCTGTCTTACAGCTCACTCATCTCAGTAACTACATTTTACAGGGGAATACAGAAGTACCAGGAGCATCTTCCTCCCTCCAAGAAGATATTACTTTTCTCACCTAACTGCCCTGTGTTGCCATGGGGGCAGCAGCATGTAAGAAGCAGACCCCTACAGGCACTGCTAGAACCTCTATCAGATGTGAGGATCCACTGATCCTTAAATTACAGTGGCTCTTATTTAACTATGAAAGGGATAGCCCATACTGCAGACGAATGTCTCAGGAAGAGTAAAACAATGGTTCTATGCTTCCTTTTGCTAAGCAGAGAAAATAAAGTACATCTGGCACACGAATCAGAGGTCACATCCAATTCTGGCCATAAACAGCACAGGAGAGAACAGCAAGCTTTCTTGAAAAGCCAGGTATGTGACAGGTCACTGGTTATGGCAGTTAAGAAAGCTGACTGTGAATCACAAATCTGCAGCATATTTTTTTCCCCTCTATCCCTATTAATTCAACAAAAGCTCTGCTGAAACCACACTGAGGACTTGCATGTTCTCCAGCCTGCTTTCTGACACCGCTCTGATCACAAGCTATTCCTGGGTTCTGACATTTTTCCTCTGCTATCTGTGGTATTTTCTCAAAAGCTGTTTCCTTTCACTCTTAGTTTTCATCTCTTCTAACAAGAGACAGATTTCTCCTTTACATTTCTTAAAAGAGTACAAACTCAGCATAGGCCTGTAGAATAGGTATTTTGATCGCTGTGTTATTATAGATGTTTCAAAATCTTGAATTGGCTCATTATCCAGCCAACTGCTGAAAAAACCCTCAAAATAGTCTTGATCCAGCATTCTACCTATTGTTTTTATCTTTCTAAGTCAAAACAAAGCTCAAGAGTAGCGTATGTACCACATATGAAATAAAATCTAAAAGTAGGTCACTGCAGGACATAGAAGCTACTTCTGCGGGGAATTCACCATATGCAGATACCTTTCCAATAACTCATTTTTAGAAACTTCTACAAGTCTGGGTTTTTTTTTTGGCCCACTCTACGTTCATATTCCAACAGCATTCTGTAATTTGATGGAACACGCAATTTTCTGACACTAAAAGCTTGTCCCAGTGACTGCAGTGGGTTGTCACCCAAAGGAATCACCAAGTCAGGTGTTCAGTTACTGAAATCATGAGCAAAGAACAACGACACAAGCCTGGGATCTGGAAATGAAATACGAACCACTGCCCACCAGCAGTGCTGAAGTTACTTTTCCCTTCCCCCTTGCCTCTTCCTCCTTCTCATATGAGACAACGCTCTGGGAAAAGAATGTGACCCAGAGCCTTGTCAGAGCTTTCCATTTTTGTTCACTGGCTTGTACTATAGTTCATCTGAAGACACTTAAAGCTACATCACTAAATCACACTTCCCTGATTTAGTCAGGTGCCATTGATTTCCAAGGGACTATTTACCCAAAGACATGTGAAGGACACAGGCTTTATTGCCTTCCCGATCTATAAGGGAGGACACTTACCTATTCTCTGAGGGATGCTGCAAGAATAAACTGATTAATGTACAGATCTTTGAAGATGAAGCATTAAAAAAAAAAATTATCCAAACCCCTGGTATTATTGATCTTGTGAAAGATCTGAAGAAAAGGAGCACTTTACACAATCAGTACCCAAGACCAATTGATAAATTAGAGATAATGTCTCAATTATTCAAACTCTAATCCATTAACTTTCATCTTTGTCAACTGATCCACATTAGATTCAAAATAATAGTTTTGGATTTTTTTCTTGTGTGACATTTCATGATATATTTACTTTTCCACATAACTTCAAGCTTTGAATTCTTTCCCAGTTTTTAATTTTTGGTCAGCATATTTTTTTTTATTTTTTCCCCTTTTCTCCTTTTCACACCCATGTCTGTTCACTCATTTTGTCTTGGACATTGTGTTTTTGGACTGTCCCTTTTTGCTTTCTCACTAAAATTTGCACATTCGAACATTAGTATTTTATTTATGTAATTACTGCAACGCTGTTCTGCCATCAATCACTCTGTCTCTTTAGGTTGAAGTTTTATTGTCTTGTTTGATCCTGTTTCAATGACTTTACCACAATAAAAAGAGCTTTTTAATTAATAAATAATGAAGTAACATATAAAGAAGACAAGCAATTGTCACTCAGAAACCAAGATGACAACTGTGAAGAAACTAGAACAATACCAAGAAAACTTGAATTTCAAGTTATATACTTTTAAGAAGAGAAATGCATAGAGCTAATTGTCATCTAAATCACCAGCCACACTTGATTCTGTCGTCAACAGCTTTGAAGTTAAGGTGCTGTGCAGGATCAGTAACTACTAATGCTGTACAATATGTACTCTTATGTCTTCCAGAGTAATTTTTTTTTGGCCATATGGTGTGCTGGAAGAGGAAACATTAAACTTACAAAAGATCATTAGGTTTGCAAGGAGAAAGAGTATTTGTATACATATTTAGTCAAATTAAAAGTATACTTATATGGCAGAAAATGATCTTGCTGGTCAGTGGATTTAAATATAGGCAGTAAGGCTTTTGGAACCTTCCTTTAGATTCATTGACAATTAACTGTGGAACTTGAGTTGTATTAAAAAATGCATGTAATTATTATTATTAATAATATTTATATAATAATATAATATGGTCATCAGGACACCTTTTTTATTTTAAAATTATGAGAGGAAGTTTTGTAAGTGCTGAAGTACAGTTGTCTTTCTGGAACCAGTAATATAGATGCATTTAAACTCTATTTACTGTATCTCTCTAAGATCAAGGAGAGTGTTTTAATTGGGCCACATTAAGCTTAAATGCTCAGTAATACATTTCTAGCTGTGGTAAGAATCAGAATCTCTTGAGAAAGAGATGGAGGGGGGGAAAAAAAAAGGATCTCTATTGTGGCTCACAATCACAGAGAAACTCATCAGTAGGCTTCTTAATTCCTCCATGCAGCATCTGTTTCTTCCTCTAAAAATAGTATTCCTTAAATTCCTATATTCCTTATAGGAGTGAAAACGTTTTACTATAAATAATCTGCGTCTTTGGGAAAAAAATTCTCCATCTTTGCCAGACCTTTTATGGAAATTAGTGTTACCAATTAAGACTGGGCATACTTTTTTCACTAAGCTCTAAATATCTGTTTCACAAAAGCTTTTTCTTTTTACCACTACATCTCTCTATGATGGTTTACACTGACCTTTTGGACGTCTGCCCATCAAGGAGCACTTGATTCTCAGCTACCCATTTCCCACCAATCATTTTGTTGAAGTACAAGTGTCTCTTGGTATGTCTCATACTGCCTGAACGAATTGAGAGATGCTTTCTGAACAGGGAGTATCAGTACTTGTGGAATAATACACATTTTTATAGCTCAAACTTTTTTTCTGTACATTGCAAAGTGCCACTAGACAATTGTCTGCTCAAAACTGTAAAAAACCCTTGAATGGCATTAACATTTCATATAATTCCATTTTTCACAGAACGTATGTAGTTCAGAATCTGACAATGTTATATATGATATTGAAAGCTTGGGAATTTGTAGCCTTACAATATGAACCAAGAATTGCAGTGTCCCAGTTACATGCAAGGGGATGTCTAAACCAGAAAGAATGCCCAGAGTCAGATGGTTTCCTGTATGTTGTTTAGCACCACATTCACATACAAATTCATTCTCCTCTACCTTCAGAGCTGAAACAGAAAAGGAACACCAGCTAGTGTTTGAGGCAGAAGAAATCTGTCAGAAAGGGGATCATCAATATTGACTCAAAATATGGCCTGCTGCAGATTAAAAAATGATGAACAAATAAGACAAAAAGATATAATTTTCAAGACAGAAGTGGGACCCATGAACAGAGTCTAAGGGAAAAAAAACAAGCCAATCAACCAGCCAAAAAAATCAGACAACTACTGTAGACCATGACTACTTTAGCACACTTCTACATTTGAGTCAGATATTCTGTTCTAAGAAACCTGAAGACCCATTTGCTCAGACCTGAGTTGCAAGCTGTGGTAAACAGACTAGAGTTTTTAGTAAAAGAAAATAAAGAAAAACAACTCAATTCATAATAAGCCCAGATGCGCTACAGATCCAGAGCTGCATTAAAAAAAAAAAAAGAACAAAAAGCAACAAAATCACAGAGGTCTGCAAATGAGTAAAGGTTAAAACCAAAGGTTTAGATGACATGTAGTTAAGTATATTTATGGCTCCAGATGGTCATGCCAACAATAGGAAATGCATATATTAAATGCTGGAATTTCTACTTAGTATTCATGTTGTGTGCATTTCTTCACATTAGGCAGTTTATTCAAAATCAAATAAAACAACAGCATACTTAAAAAGAAATGTTAAATAAAATTTCACATGAATTACAAAATGCATTAGAATCTAAAATGACTGAGAAAAGGTAGAGAATTGTCTGTAGTGAGCAGTAACACAATCTTACATATATTAGATTTGTTCATCTCCATCTCTCTCTTCCCATTTGTATATGTGTGTACGTACAAAATTAACTAGATTCTATACAACACTTCAAAGGAAGTTCCTCAAGAATCTATGTCTTATTTATAGGTAACAAGAAGTTCACAGCATATGAGTCCATTAATAAGAAAGGCATACTTAGGTGTTGCAGGTGATGCAGATCTTCTGGACATGGCAGCAGGAGAATCAGACCTTCTCAGAGGAGATCCCATACCAGATGAGGAACCAGGTGTTGTGGATCGCTTCTCTTTCTTTATCTTCTCAGTCTAGAAGCACAGTTCATCTTAGTTTCCATAATTAGCATCAACAAATCAAAAATTTGATTGTTTTATTAACAAGATGTCATATAAAGTGATTTCTGTAACATACACTTGAAAGGTTTTAGCAGCTCACAACTATTAAGCTATTAAGCTATTAAGTTTTTTGTTTTACACAGACATAACACACACACACACCTCATCTTGCATGGATGAGGGATGGTGGCACTGGGTGGAGTCTTCAAAATCACCTGTATGCCCCTGCAACACCTCCTAGGTATGATCAGTAGTGCAACCAGGCATCTCACAGAAACGCTGCTGCAGGTAACACTGAATCACACCTAAGGCTGACACTACACAAATCTTTACTCTCAGCTTTGGTCCTCTCATTTGCAGCTAATTTAGAAGGCATGAATTCCTGCATTATTAACTATTACAAGACAAAGATCTTATGTGGATTTTACAGTCCTCACATAGACTTTTTTTTAAAACACGCCTTAATCTGTGTAGACTCAGTGAAGAAAGAGTTTAGCAAGTGGTGTAAAACAGGCACTGTCAATACACTTGAGTTTCTGAAATATGTGAAGCTTGCTCATTAACCAGAAAGACTGGACACTCAGGGGGGAGATCCTATTTGTTATCCCCATTCCCAGAAGTTACAAGCAAGTCCAGAAACATACACTTCAATGCCTCAGTTCCCTGAAAATAAAGGTGTTGCTGTTGCAAATAGCACCACTCAACATGGATTCCCAGGAGGAGGAAGATATCAAAATGCTGCTTAAGTGGAGCACGAAAGCAACAGACATTGGCGAGGCTGTTTTTTACAGCAGGGCTAGCACTTTATTTGTATTCATGTAAAGGGAAAGGTAACAAGCAGAAGCAGCATCAGTTTACCCAGCAGTGAAATCAAAACCATTGCAAACTCACCTGAGTAACTTCGGCTGCAGGCGCCCCTTTCATGGCACTGGAGGTGGAGGGTGAAGTCGCCTTCTTCCTGTCGGTGCTCCGAGTGGGAGAAGCCTTGTAGGGAGACTTAAGAGGACTAGCTGGTGCTACACGAGGACAGATATGGAATACTAAAGAGTTATAGTACAATAGCAAGAGCAAAAGGGAGCACAGACAGAGGAAGTAAAGGAGAGGAGAAAACAGCATACTTTTATGTTATAATGTTCAAAGGTAGTTTTAAAGGTTTTTTTTTCAAAAAGTGTTTCAACAGATTACATTATGCAACATGTTCAACGTGATCCCATGTTTGTTAAAAATGTTTCAACTGAAGGTAATATTTTACAGGATTTTTAAAAAACTATATGTAAAATATTGCTCTCTTACTCACTTTTTGAATTACCTAAATGATTATTTTTTCCTCTGAAAAATTCAACTTCCTTTGAATATGATAAAAAGAGTAATCAGATAATTCTAGCTGGGTGACTTTTGAACAAATACTGCAAAACAGGAAAGGTGACAGGAGCATAGGGAGTGTTTGGGATTTTTTTTAAAGCTTAAACATGGCAATGCCTCCTAAATATGTTACTTACTTTTCAAAATAATACTTAATTTACAAAAATTAACCCCAAACCCCCAAACCTGAACTAAATGCTGCAGTAGGTATTTCAGTTATTGTTATTTGTGGGACACATCAATTTGAGTGTGACACACGCATTACAGCTTACAGGGCAACTCTTTTTTTACTTGCAATATGAACAGGATTTTTTTAAATGGTATCTCTTACTGCTGGTTTTGTTCATATTGCCTTCTAAGATGAAACCTTCACATACACATGGAACAATCAATAGAATATATCTTTTATTAATAAGACAGACATTAATTGCAACCAAGTGATAGTGTGTTTGCAATCATAGTCAACTAAACTCAAGAAGATATGACTTAGGAAAAGCAGTAATTATGTGCTAATGTAAAGAAACTCACATTTCCAATCTTTTTTTTTTTTTTAATTGAAAGCAGTCTCATAACATTTCTTATGAAGCCTTTCTTGTATGCTTTAAAGTTTAACTAGACCTTTGTATTCTTTGACACACTTTCCAGCAAGCTGGCATAAGGTCACTGAATATTAGAAAAAGTGTTCAGAAACTTAATGCCTGCTTAAGATAAGTATTTTCACTTCAACTGTTAAAAGAATTAATTATGTGTCCAGTAACAACTGTTTGCCTGAATATCTTAATTTGGAGTGACATTAATAATGTATTGCCCCTGAGTCTTAAATTGAGGCTCCTCATTTCTAAGCATACAGAAAATGCAGGAGCAGAACAATTTTGACCCCAGTATAATGAGCTCTTGGAAAGGAAGAAGCCTCTTCCCTGCACAGAAACCTACTTCTATGGTGAGAAGTACACGACAAATGGGAGATCTCACTCAACACTTTTGCTGGCAATTACTGACAAAACCGTCAGCTACAGCCCCATCGCCTTGCGAGGAAATGACAAGAGGATGCTGGTTCAGAAAGCTGTTCCCAAAATCAGCTCTTCTGTCTCAGCTGAGTGAGAAAGCAGTTTGCAGGCCAAATGGTATCCTTGTCAGACATGCCAGCGAGCTACTTTAAAGGTCCTGTGATGGAGAGTGAGATAAAGCTGGGAGTTTACAAACAAAACGAGTGGGGAAGGAAAAAAGTCATCCCTATTGATTTCTTTGAAATCAAATACAACATGGAAAACATCATCTGTAGGTGACCCTAGCAATTCACCTCAAAATCTTAAGCAGAATAAACTGATCCAATTTTGACTTGGTTTTTGTTCCCTCTTAGCAGTAGCTGATCTCTGAGCAGTAACCAAACTGGGAGTTTTCTCCTGGGCCAAGTACTGTATGACAACATCTTTGCTTCCAGTAGAGGCTGCTTTTAATGTAGAAACAAGAGAATCAATTTTAGAGCCATTCAATATCAACGTCCTTATGCACTGAACAAAGAAGCAATGCACAAGGGAAAGTAGGTTTACTCTGCAATTTTTTTAAAAATAGCTTTGTATTAAAAGCACTGATGGAAGACCTAAGTCTGTTTTAACCATGGTGTGTGAAAATACTCATAATAAAGATGGTCAGTCTTTATCACCTAAATAATTTAATCCTGGAAAAATGTTTCCTTTTGCAGACAGGCATTGGGGTGTTGTCTTTGGTGTGTTTTTTGGTTTGTTTGTTTTATTAAAAGTAATACCAGCTGTTAAACTTTTGTCGTGTTTCAGCCAACACTGTGACCAGGTATAGCTTTGTAAGTTGAAACTATTCTGGAAGTCAGGCACTTGCCTAAGTATTATCAGGACTGGACACTTTCGTTTTGTAGATGTTTGCAAAATAATGGGTTTACCAGACTACCATTTACAGATAGGAATGGTAAATATCATCCCTTAAAGATCAATAATTTTTGGAACTGACACATTCTTATCAGTACCTCTTTTTTCTTCTAAGTATGTATCATTTTATATGTGTATGTACACCTAAATATATATATATATATATAAATACAGAGTCACACAGCTAAAGGCAAAAAGGTATTTAACAGCTAAAAACTGGAACCCTTGTAAAAATAATTAAGGCTCAAAATGGTGCACTGGGATTTTTGTTCTACATACTATTTGGGTAAGACAGGGATGACATTAATAAATCAATCAAGGCCTCTGAGAGGTGTCACATCCTTGTCTAAAAACCTGTTTCTTACATTAATATATTCAGCTTTTCCACTGGTTTCAGATTTAATGATTTCAGGTTGTTTTTTTTTCCTTAAATAGACATTCAGGACAGGACAGGCAAGATGATGGGCTTTTCCACTGTAATCAGGAACAACTTAGTTCGTCATTGATTTTGTACGACCACGTAAATTGTCATTTGGTTCATGGTACTCCTTTTCTTTCAGCAACTACGCAGATGCAGCCACAAATACACCTGAATGGTTTCAAAGTAAGTCACATTTTACCTGGAGTATTGTACTGCTCAGAAAGCATTAATGTACTTCTGCTTCTGGCTAAAGATGACTGTGTGGGAGTCAGCAGTCGAGAAACAATAAAGTTTTCCATTGGACTAAGATGCATGCGGTGAGCTGAAGGATGGGAGCAAATAAAATAAAATTTAAAATGCAAATAAATGAAACAATGTTACGTAAAAATAACTGAAACAAAATGATGAAATGATTAAATGAAATGCCAAAACCCCTGGAAGTGTTTGAGATTTAAAATATTTGAAGATAATATTCATTCCCTCTGAAAAAAGTCTTCTAGTTTCTCCATCCTTTTAAATTATTTTCCCACCTGTACAATAAATATAGTAAGGTTAAGACTGTGTTGCATTTTGTTCTTACTCAGAGGCATGTTCCATTATGTAAAATGGTTGCTTTCATGACTCAGCATGAAAAAGGCTTGTCTTCTTCCCCAGTAGAAGAGGTAAAATATTTGATGTAACAGCACGGCTGTTCCCTAACGTGCCAACCAAAGTGGGACTGCATTTCAAATCTGCCATCTCACCGCATTATGTAAGTCTTATTTATACAATATGCCTGCATTCCTTCCTACTCCATAAATGTGTCAACTATGTAAGACATATTTATAGATGTTCCTATTACACATATTTACAATCATCCATCATAATAATCTCAAAAGTACTGATGAGTTTTCATTAAGACATTCAGAAGTTAAAATAAATGTACCTTCTCTTTTCATTCTAAAAACAAGCCTTCATAGTCACTTACTTCAAAAAATACATTTTTTTATCATTAAAGAGAGAAAAAAAGAAACACAAAACAAACCTAAAAAAGCCAGAGTTCACAGTGAGATAAACCCTTCAGTCCTCTTTTCAGTGTTTAGTAATCACTAATCCTACAAGATGATCATCTTTTGCTGAGTCTCTCATGGATCAGAGTTTTGTAACAAATTAAAGGGCTCTACAACTCTGGTCACCAGACTGAAGTGTCCCAGGTGGCTCGTTGGATGTACTCCTGCCCACAGTACATCCCGTATCTACTGTCAAGCCACATACTTGGTTTGCCTGTTTTTCCTACTGGCCAGAAGGTCACAAGCAGTACAGTTATAGGAAACGGCTGCAGTCACAGCATGTACTTACAACCTTGTTTGTGGGAGTATCAAAAACTGAAAAAGAATCAGTAGAAAGCCCACAGCGTTTGTTGCTGGACTGCTATGTCCAGCACGGCAGCACAGTCTCGGGACAGGCTACAGAACTACTTTAATGTATTAATTTAAAATGCCTCAAATGTTTGAGCTCTTTTGAATGACATACATAAGCAAATCACACAACTATATGGACAAGAAGTGCGTTAAGCAGAAGGAGAGTTTAGGCTGGCAGGAGACCAGCAGGTTCACTTGCCTCTGTCGGGGGAATGTGTTATGGCCGCGGTGGAGGAGGAGAGGCGCTTACTGATTGGCGAGTCCATTTGCTTTGGCAGATTCATTGTAGAAGCTGAAAGTTTGTCACATGCTGCAGAGAAACGCATTGAAGATATTTTGTATTCACGTCATGGTGTTGATAAACTCCCCAAATTAACCTTGCATTTGTACTCGTGACCCTTGCCACTCAGAGCACTGAATTAGGCAGCAGATAAGCTCTTTCTGAGTGCTGGAGGACCAGCATCCTGTGACACATGCTTTGGGATGCAACTTTTCTGCTTGTGAATTTAACACTCCAGTTTTACAGCAGCCTATTTTTTGTACTGCCACTGGGACATAATTATGTATCAGGTCTGAATGAGTGTAGCCGTTGTGATACAAGATATTCAAAGATCAGCACAAGCATAAAGTTACCCAAAGAAAACAAACTGCACACAGGACAATTCTGAACTCATCTTCATTCCCTCTCCCCTCTGCTTTCAAGTCTGGATGACCTGGAATAGACCTCAAGTATTATTCTAATAAGAAAATTAAATAATCAACATTTGTGTGCTTGCATGATGAGACCTCACTGTTTGGCTTTATCTTTTTGTGCTTGGGAAGATTTAAAAAAAAAAAAAAAAGACACAGATTCTTGGTAATTTTTTCTTGTGAAATACTGTTTGACAAAGTCTGTTTTAGCCCAATATCCATTTCCTACCTTGGCATTTATTTAACTGAATGAAAGAAAAATGTTACTCAAGTATTACTAGAGTGTACTAGCACATGATGATCACTGTATGATACTCAGAAGCTAAAAACACAGGCTCCTTGTCCCCTAAATTTGAATTTTATTTCTTTCAAAACAAAAAATATTTTCAGCAAGGGACATGTACGTGTAATTCTGCAGCTCCTAAGTTACTGTATTCCCTATTACATCCATCAAATCATTGCCTCAATGGGGTTGGCAAGATTTCCTTCCATCTACTACAGTAGACAATACAATTTGCTTTCTTAAAAAAACCACGTATGATGTTGGTATGCTGCAAAACATCAGTTGCACAGCCAAGTATCTTTGCACATGAACAACAATTAGTAAAAAAATCTGAATCTGTTTGCACAGAAATAAGAGTTCTGTGAAATCATGGACAGAACAACATTTATTGTACGTTCTGCAGGAGTAATAGCCAAGCCTAGCTCCTCCTTTGGGGGCGAGAGAAGGAACCTACTTCTCGAAAGCACAGGCTGTGTTTTGTTTTCAAAATGCCAAGTACATTTACAATCAAGATTAGAAACCCTATGTGCAATACAATCGTAATTTTGGAGGACTCATGTACTTCACAGTCCTTTTATGGAAATAGGAATTAAAAAATGCAAGCCACAGAAAAAGTGCAAAAAAAAGGTAATAGAATAAAACATAATTGATTACACAAAGTCAACTTCCTGACTTTGTTACAAATACCAGTTCAGCCAAAATTCATTTTTGGAGGCTGAAAAACACAGCATGGCCATGTAAATGTATTGTAAATTTACTTGTTCTTAAAATACTGCAGAAAAAGGCCCTTGAGATGGAAAAAGAGGACTGTTTTGATGAAACACGGGCTTCATAACACATTTTGTCTTACTGTGCAACTGAAATCTTTTTCAACAGCACCTGTGCCCATCCATTAGAACTGTCAAATATATGCCTAATTATACACACACACACACACAGAGCACCCACAGAATTAACAAAGATGAGAATCTGAGTGGTAGAAGTCTACAGTTACTGAGAAAACCATGAAATGCCTCTACTGTGCTGGAATGTGAGGCATGCACTGCTCCACCATGGCAAAATTAAAAGGAAATTAAAAAGACATTGGTCTACAACGCTAAGGGTAATGCTGTAGAGTGCCAGACTGAAATTATAAGAAAACACTGGTTAGGAAGGACAAGATCAGTGGATGGATTACAGTGATTAGAACAGTTATAAACAAGACACGATGGTGCTGTGATTCTCTGAAATACCATTGAAGGAATCAGCAGGAGCAGTAGAGGTCACAGGGTCTGGAGGAAGGGTGTTGGCAGCTAAACCTAGAACAGGGGGTGGGGTATTTTCTGATTCACCTACACAGCAGAGAAATCAGAGCAAAAAGAGGTGAAAGAAATTACTGAATAAGTTGGGGGAGCTGGAATTAAGCATAAACTGCATCACAAAGAAAAACTGGTTTCTTTCTCAAAGTATAAAAGACTTCTTTTATTATTACATATGTTTAATTTCTGGGTTTTTTAATGGCATACCATTAAAACTATGATATGAAACAGAGTTTGCCTTTTTAAAGTTAAGTATATTTACACACTGTTTTAAAAGAGTACTTGTCATATTTCTTCATCACCCAAACATGGATATTTTACCCATAACAGTTTATTCAAACCTGACAAATTTAAATAAGTTGCATGATTTAAAAGAGAAAACATGCATCTTTTTGAAATATAAAAGCAGCACATGACTGATTATGTAATAAAAAGAACTTGCTCTGAAGCCAAAGCAAAAACAGCAGTAACAGAACGTATATGGGGGGGAAAAAACAAACTATTTTAAACTGCACATGCTGCATAGTCATCTAGAAATTCCCAGCAGTTTTTAAAAGTACCAAACAAAAACAGATCAGTTTTTTGCAAGGCTTAGACAGCACTCAGTCCTTTGGTGAATACAGAATTTGCTAACTGTGTGCGTGGGAAGATAGTGTGGAGGAAGATAATAAGGGAGACTGTGCATCAATTTTAATTTTAGCATTTAGCATCCTCCAAACAGGTTCTGGTTACTCTGTTAAAATGATCTGCATTCCTAAAGTTAGGAGGAACCTTTCTCCTCAGAAGGTATTAGAGAGAGGAAGCCTGGCAAGCAATTACAAAGTACTTATTCACGCCCCAAGGCAGAAGCCCGCACAGTACCACCCTAACTATAAAACCATCATACTTACTATCTCCACAATCTCATGCATTTTGCACTTCCAGATCTGCAATGCAGGCAGCCTGTTTCACTTACCATCTCTCCCTCCTGAGCCTGCAGCCAGTGCTCCTCCCCACGACCATCGCTTCTGCTTCTGTTCCAGCTGCTGGCTGCGTTCAAGGGACCGACGCATCATGGCTTCTAAACGTTCCTGGTTGAATTGGTACAAAACCAGAAACCAGATCTCAGTCAGTTCTTTGGGGGCTTTTTTCCCCACCCCGCCTCCTGAAACCACGCTAAAAATACCCAGTCCCCCTGTTGCTCCACACAGGATGATTACAGGAGCTTGTTCACAATAAAAGAAAAAGAAGTGAATAAAGAAGGTATCAGCATTCTACTTACCTCCAGATATGTGTGTCCTTTGTCTGCAAGCCACTGAGGTCACTACAGAGGCCTAAGTAAATAACACAGGTTGCATCACTGCCTAGCATCTGCTCCTGCTGGTGAGGCTGCTGCTGTGCTCTGGACTTAATTTGTATAAGAATAATGCTCGACAAGCATTAACTCCTTCTTGTCTATGCAGACATCAGGATTTTTTCCCATCCCTTTCTGAGCACAGTTAAATTGCTGCAATGCCAGTGGCTCCACCTAGTCACTCAGATAAATGATCACTTCAAACCCAAAGTAGGTTACTTTGCAGGATGCTCTATTTATATATTTATTTTCACGAAAACTCCCTCCTTTCTTCCGCTATGTTCCTTACAGTCTATGCAGTTAAGAGCTTCTGATTTTTTTTTCCCCTCTGTGTTTTTTTTTTTTTAATGAATGCCTAGATCATGCTGTTCCAAGATTTACTTGCTTCCCACCCTCTATCCCCATGTTCTTCTCCATGGCTTGCTGAGGTAGGATTTTTAGCTGTGAGAGAATAAATATATTTCTTTCCCTCCCCAAATCCTGTTCTACCTTTCACTTACAGCTAAGTATGGTCACCTTATTCCCTCTCCACCACCTCCTGACTCACTGAAAGACCTCCACTGAGTTTCATTCCCACCTCCTCCCTCTGCTAGTTTCTCAGTGATTTATTGTTGTGGCAATGATCTCTGCACCTTTTCTTTTCCTCCTTTCAAGCAGATATAATGTGGTTCTTCCCCACCCACCATTCCATCATCTAATAGCCTCTTTTCTTCCTCCTCCCAATACCTCATTCCCATCTGGCAACCTCCTCACCCTCACAGCCTAACTCCTACCATGAAAGATATGTCTACTCTTGCTGCCTCCAACTTTTGCCCCAATGGATTTTAGACCTTTGATCCTATTACTATTTTTGGTGCTATCACTTATTACCTTTGCTATGTCCTTCTGATCTAGTGTAAAACTCCTACTCTCATCCACTTCAAACTGGATCCTGCAGGCTTCTGTGATTACATCATACCCCTTCTGATTTTTATCAACCCCCTGCTCTGTCTCCAGTATCTTTTGGCAGCTCAGATCAACTGCATGGAAAACCTCTCATACATCTCCTGGACAGAATACTTTCTCTAACTGATTCATGCCTTTGGACTGGCTTTCCTATTGCCTTTTTCTGAGAGATTTTACCACAAAATTTCAGTCTTTGTTCAAGCATGTCTCCTTCAGCCTCTGCACTGATGTTGAGCCTGTAATCTCTGATGAAGCGCCTTCAGCACATCAGACCCTAACATCAGGCATCTCCAGAAACCTCCATGACAGAACTTTTATACATGTACCTGTAACCTTTGTGTTACTTTACTGGGGTTCCTGGCCTTCTACAATGCCAGATGTCCTCTCATCATCTTCTGGTTATCTGCAATATACTTTTGTCTCTTCCACATCTTTGAAGAATCTCTTCTACTACAACTTGCAGTAATTTATTTCTGACCTCATTTTTTCCACCTCATCCACCCCTACTACCAGTTATCCATCAATATCAACAGCAAGCCACTACCTTTAATCTTTAAGCTCTCTTCCCTTAACCTCATTACAAATCACTTGTGCTATAAAGAATGCCAATATATTACCCTCCATACAAAGACTGAGAAAAGAAAATCCTTGCATGCTCTTTCCATCATTCTCAGCTCTCTCGTCCCTGTTACCTTTTGGCCAGGTGCCCCACCCTGCTGTTACAATTTCTGCTGCTGTCTCCAGGAAGACGATTTTTCAGTCATGTGTTTTGAGCTCGCAGTCTATCAGGTAACATCATTCAAAGACCACTGAAAGCAGGCAGCTGCTTCCCCGCCCTCCCTTCCCCCTTTCCTCCCCCCTTCTGTCTCGTCAGTGCCATCAGTGTCCAGGCAGGCATGAAAATGCGAGCTCTGCCTCCTTCCTTCCCCTTCTTTTCCCTACAGAGCAATTGCACAAATCATCAGGAGGCAGCACAAAGCCCAAATGCAGCCTCTTCTGCTACAGCACAGAAAACCCCACAGTTCTGAGTACCCTACTCACTTCTTGTCCCTACTTGGGGTGTGAAAAGGAAACAATCTTCCAGTCTCTGGAATTCGAAGTCACTCCTCTGATTTATTTCACAACAGTCTTTCTTTCTTCTCTTACTGCTTGATGATGCCATTTTCACACTTAAAACCTGTGTGTGCTGCCTTTGCATTTCAAGTTCATGCTTTTTACTTTTAACTTCCCACCTCTCTAATTTAATTCTGTTTGAGTGTCTTTTCTGCTCTTACTCTTTGGAAACCTCACCTATTTATTTCATCACCAGTTCTTCTCTGCAGTTTGCTTCTTTTCACTACTTTCTTCTACTTTGCATCTTGCCTCAACCTACCCTTCTACCCACACTCTTTACACCAAGGAAAATCATCCTCCCGTTTATTTCTCATTAAAGCATACTCTTATACAGAACCTTTCTTTCTTCCCGTTTCTAATTAATACTGTTCGACATTAAACAAAAAAGATAAGATGAAAGCAGTCAAGTTTCAATTATCTGGCTGATTTATGTTTGTTTGTTGTTTTGTTTAGGGTTTTCTAATGATGTTTGCAACAAGAACCAGCAATATTCTTTAGTTTGCAAACCACAGAATACACTTATACCACCTACTAAGAAAGTGTTTTAAGAATAAAATGCACAGTGAAATAGATTAAAGAAATTAAATGATTCTTCATACATATTTGACAGTCCATGCTACCTACAATCTGAGGTTGAAATCTTCAGCCACACGATGTGGAAAGGATCACTGAATTTCATTTGCAAAGAGCCTTTCATTAAAGCACTATAGAACATAATTATTAAACCTCATGCAGATATAGCTTAGATAAAGAACAATTTGAGGGTCATTTTTCACAAAGAAAGGGTAGTTATTAAAAAAACACTTTAAGTTGGCACAAAACTAAAAAGCCAAAGAAAACAATAAGACATAAGGAAGCACAGCATAAACACCTCATACATTAATAATTTGTTCTGTGACGAAAATTAAACCACAAGACATTCCTTCACCAGCAAACAATGTGGAAAACCCTTCCAGTCTATGTTATAGATGAAGTACCTTCTTAAAAAGATATTAAACTACCAGTGTGATCCTCATTTGGGAACTCTTAACAGCTACAGATAAAGGAAACAATGTCTGCACTCAAGATACAGTGAGTTCCCACAAAAAAACTATATTGCACAAGAATTGCATGTAGGTTAAATTAAGAATTAATAAAATCATAAAAGAGAGCCATCTACTGCTAGTATCTAAAAAATACATGTTACTTTCAAAATCCAGTTACTCATCCAGGTTTTCCTCAGCCTGAGCAACAGAATAAAAATTTGTGCTGTCCGAAGTAAAAACAAAAAATCCACAAACAAAACCCAATTGTGAGAAAACAAGTAATTTGACTAGTACTTTCCTTTTCTCTGTGCAAAATATAACACAGATGTGACAAACAAGGAAAAAATTCATTTAAAAAAAATTATGACTTAAAATAATTTGTGCAAACAATTCTAACCCATCTCCTTATACCTACAATATAAATATCTAAAAGAGCCCAAAACCACCTCTTCCTCTTCTCTTTACACACAGCACTGTATGCAAGTAGATCACTGTTTCCTGATATTATCAGTCAGCTTCATCTTTGAGTGGCTCTTCCCTATAGCAACGAAAGAGCTCTGTTATTTTCTGTTTAAATAATGCTTTAAAAAGCAATACAGTATTCTTAAATTTAAGTACCATTCTGAATAAAATTAATTTCTACTCTCAACCAATTGCAGTTATGGGTGTGTGTCAGGGTGTGGGCATCAAACGACAGCATAGGACAGAGGAAGGCTCTGCATTAAGATACAAAGGGAGCTGCCACAGCAGGGAACAGCAGGGGGAGGGCAAAGGATGGTCAGTAATGAGGACTAAATATTTCTCCTCATGTCCACTGCAGAGTGAGAGACTGCTTGCAATGCAATCTCTAACAGTTTGCAGCAGAATTTTTATATTTCTCATGCGACTGAATCCCACTTAGGCTATGAACTGCCAAAATCTGTTTGGAAAGCAATTATTATTTCATATATTATAATTTTAAAAGTAATGAAATTTGAATTGTATATAATACAGTAAGTAATTAAAGCTATAATATCTTGAGAGTTGTCACACTCTTGTGTCTAAGTGCATACTTTTTACAAATGTAATGAATAGTGCATGTGCGTGTAAACAATCTCTCCAATGATGCAGGATATTCTTTTCAATGTAACAGTTGTTATATCAATCTTTCAAGTCAAGTGCTGGCTTAAATTTGATGCTCTCTACAGGTTCATCTAAACATTAGTATACTGGTAGGCTCAGTACTACTTTTGTCAGTTTCCTTTTTAACAAAATCTGATGCTTTTATTAAAAACAAATCTTTGACTGGATGGATGTTCTTGCTCTTATTCGCTCAAGCATCCTTGACATGGCCTGTACAAGTGATGTTCATATTGTCTTATGGAATCCAAGATCAGCAGAACACGGCTCCAATAACCCAGGTACAGCTAGACACCTATTTGCAAGGCATTTTCTGAGTCACACGGAATTTCAAGGCAGGGAACTAAAAAATTTTTATCCAGTCCCAGACTGAAGCAACTCTTCAATCACTTCTGTTGAACAACGTTTCTTTCCTCAAGGCTCAGGGACTGCTTTTACTAAAGGAAGTGGGCAAGTTTAATACTCAGGGAAGGACAGTGGTACTGAAGACCTCTGTAGATGAGAAAGGTGCAGTCAGTGTCAACGGGGCAAACACATATTTTCATATATATTTATTCATGTCCTGTCTGAAGAATTGGACACGCTTTCACTGTGCTCTGCAACAAGTTCCAGCTGCCTCAGAGGGGAACTCTGAGAGAATACCTCCATTCCTACCAATATAGACATTAAAACCACCATATCTTATCTGGCATTGTAGAGTGGAAAAAGCAAGCAAAATAAATCAAATTTTAGCCACCTCCTCTTTAAGAAGTCCTTTCCAAGCAAAACAGCCAAGCAGAGGATGCTCTGACATAGGAGTCAACAACTCCCCACCAGTTTCCTCTCAAAGTCTTCCAGATGCAACAATAATGTTTTGTAGAGAGAGACTTATACAATCTGTTCCTATCACAAAAATGCACTACCTTCTGCTGTGTTAAAAAGCAAGGAAAAATAACTTCAGGAAAATATAAAGGACAACCAATAAGGCAAAGAGCAAGGAAGAAAATCTCTCTACTTGTCATTTCAGACACCTGATGAGGAGGTAAGATGGGTACTCCAGTCCCCAGCCAGTGTAAACCAGAGTTAAAATGAGAAACACTGAGGACTCACTGGCCAGGGCACACACACACCCCGCCTCAGATGTGGGAAATACAGCTTCAAAGCTCTTCCAGTAAAGAAGATCTTTAAATGGCCAGAATGACTCACAGGCATCGAGTAACTTGCAATGCCCAGGGAGCTGCAAGTTCATCATCATCCTTACTCAGACCCTCACTGTTACGATGCATGTGGGGTTTGACAGATTCACCAGAAGCAGAGGGGGAATTCGGCAGATCCTTTAGTAGAATTCAAGTGGAATTTGAGAAATGAGGGACAAGAAACCACAAAGGGAAGCCAGAAGGTGATGTCTCATATTCCCAGTTTCCTTCTTCCCTTACTCTTCCCTATTCTACAGATTATTCCCCTATGTACCCTCTCCTCCTTCAGAGGCTCCTGGATTTTTCCTCCCCCCCAGGTTCATCCCATCCCCAAACAAGCAACCATCCTCTCCAGTCCTCCTGCTCCTCTCACCTTCCTCAGCCTGGGGGAAGAGGGAGGGAGGAAAGAAAAGGTAAAGAAGCCAGAGCTGGTGGGCCTGTCTTAATTCCCAAAGAAAGGCTTTGGACAGTTTAAGCACAAAGGACCAGCCCAGTGAGAGAAGTGGTACCAAACTCTGGGAAGCAGCCTTTCTCTCGCCATTAGAGAAGTCTCCCATCACACGTACAGTGTCCTCGGGAGCTGAAACAGGCGTGCTGATGCTTGGGAGAAACATCACTCTCTGCTCAACTTCCTATATCCATCTCTGGGAAAGTGCAGGAGGCCACTGCAGGAGATGGAGCCCCCTTGGCTCTGACCTGCCACAGCCTCT